TGGGAAGCTCTCTTGCTGTGTGCTCAATTCCCTAATAAAAATCATATGAGCAGTCAGGAGAGAGGTCAGTTGCTGAAATTCTTTTCCAGAAAACAACAGATGATTCCTAGTCTTTGTACTTGAGATTAAAATATTGAAGTAAAAATCTGTTCATTTTTCTCAAGTACAAATAATTTTTAGATGAAGCTATGTTAACGGCTTTGTTTATCAAGTGTATTGTCAGTAGAAAATTGTAGGACTATAGTTTTAAAATCAATTATTTGTAACTGTTCTTACGTAAATAGATACTTTATGTTTCTGCACAAAATGAATTTGCTTTTTGACTTTAGTGTGTTATTGTTGCTGCGTATTACTCTGTTAATCAGTTAAACAGTGTATAGAGTAAGAACAATTGATTTTCACTGTTTTGCTTCTCTCAGACTGTTCCCCAAGTCTCTTTATGGAGCATTAGTGAATTCCAGGCAAAGTAATAAATCCATCTTTTTCTTTGAAAAGATGTGGCAGCATAGAAATTTTGAATTAAACCTATCGTTTTCTGGTGTCCGATAGCATTATTGGCAAAAACACAATGTAGGAATAAATAGGTTTTGACTGTTGATTGGGTTTTGATAGTGCTGCTGTCTTCTCAAAGAAGTTAAATTACAGTTCAGGGCTTCCACCAAAAACATGTTATATGGGCAATAAAATGTTCGCTGCCATTACTTTCAGCAGGTATCCGTGCTTTAGTCATCTTGATTTCTGTCTCCTTGTCAGGTAATTTTTACGGCACTCCAAAGCCTCCAGCGGAGCCCAGCCCCTTTCAGCCTGATCCAGTGGATCAAGTTCTTTTTGACAATGATTTTGATACCGAATCACAGAGGAAAAGAACCACATCTGTCAGCAAAATGCAAAGGATGGACAGTTCTCTCCCTGAAGAGGAGGAAGAGGAGGAAAAGGAAGCAGTTAATGGCAGCGGAGGGATAGGTTGGTTCACAAGGGGTGAAATTCCCTGAAGTATTGTATGAATGGATAAGAAGTATACAAATAACTTTCATGCTTGCTTGAACTGCTTCCTTAGTTTTGGTGAAGTTTGAAGGCGGTTTTCTATTCAGACTGGTGTTTTTACTCAATTTTGAAATTAATCTTTTAAAAAGAAACAGCTGTTCTCCCAAACAGATGTGCAATTGCATCATAAACTGCACTGCTCGGTAGAGAACATGTAGTGCTGGGTATCAGCCAGTTACATGAGGAGGAAGGAAAAATTTATCCACTCTTCAAATAACGGAATCCTTTGCAGAGTGTAATTCATAGCCTGTAAATGTTATTGTTTAATTTTGAGGAGATTACTGAATTTGTATGCAGGAGGTTTTTGCGAAACGATTGGTTTAAGGGGCAGCACTAGCTCATACTGTAAAATTTTCAGATGATTTTGGTTACGGGAACTATCGCACAACCTGACACTGCCCAAAGGGGAGTCTGTGGAGAGAAATAAAGCAGCATGCATTGAGACTGGACCAGTGTCCAGTCGGACGTTTCAAAGATTGGCAGGATGCCCTTTTGCTTTCGCTGTCATGGTTACTCATCTCGAGGGGGAAGAAACTGATGGTGGAGAGAAACCGTCACATTGCATTTGCAGATGATCCTGCGTGTGAATGTTTAAGACAGACTTATATTGACCAGACCCGACCTAATCTTGCGAGCTTCGGGGCTGGCAACACGCCGGCACAGAGCGGCCCGGTGGTGGGGCTGGTGGCTAGGTGAAGGTCACGGAGATCGCCGTGTGACGGAGGATACCGAGCGTAACCGCGGGGCTGAAGGGTGGAGGCTTGCATTTAAAGCTTTCTGCAGGGATTTGGGGAGCTTTGTCTGGTTGTGGCTTGCCGGAGGGTGTTGGTTGTTTTACTGGCAGTTTGGGTCTTCTCTGCATTTCATTCTGGTGCTTTGAGGAATATTAGTAGGATTTTGGGGGGGGTTTGATGGCATTACAAACACTGTTCTCTATGTAGGAACAGCAACAAAGTGTAGTCAACTTGGATTTCTGCCAGTGTTGATTTTTCAGTGTAGGCTCAGACACATAATACAAGGTTAATTCTGTTTGGCAGGGGAAGAGCAGAGTTCAGTGTTTTCATGTCAGCTTTTCAAAGTTCACAGCTGAAAAAAAAAAAAGTGGAAAAATGCACATCACATACAGGGACGTGTTTGACATCCACTCGTAGCCAGATTAAGAGGGTGGTTCTTTGTGAGAAACTACATAAACATCTGACAAATAGTAACACTTTCCCTGAACAACTGCAGAAAACAAAGAAAAACATTCAGATTCTCCTGACTGGATGAAACCTGTTCCCAGCTACAACCAGACAAGCAGCTCCATGGACTTCAGAAATTACTTGTCGAGGGATGAAACCCTGGAACCGCTGCCCAAGAACTGGGAGATGGCCTACACCGACACTGGCATGATCTACTTCATTGAGTGAGTAGACCGACGCCGCGGAGGGGTTGCTGTGCCCTTCGGAGGAGAGGAGTGCTGAGGAGCTGCAGTCTAGGAAGCTGCCTGCTGCTCTTACACCTCTTCTTCTGCTCTTACTGCTTCTGTTTCTGTATGAAATTTAATATATTCCTACTGTTTTGTTCCTTACTGATAGTCATCTATGCTGCATACTCGGTACTATTGCCATTGCGCGGGAAAGCCTTATGGTTCCACGTGCAAAGTCAGTCTGTTTGTAATATGAGTTTTGTATTTCACAATACAAAGCTGGGTGGGTATTGCTAGGTGAGGTATAACATCATATAAACCTTCACTATGTCAAATTTCTCTGAAATTCGAGAGCTTGTTTATTCCTTCTTTGCTGCTTGTGTTCCTTGGCTGGAAATGTGTGCTTAAAAATACAAATAGCACAGATTAAAGCCCAGGATAGGAAAGCAGCTCATATGTGCACATGTGAAACAGCCTCATTTATTAATTTCTAAAGGAAACAAAAACCTTAGTGAAGAGTTAAGCGTAAGAAGGGGCTAAAAATGTTTTTTCCTTTCCACCTGAAACAGCTCTTGGGGGCAGGGGAGAGTGTTTGTGCCTCTGACATTTCACATCTGTCCTGGAGAGTCTCCAGTGTGCTTGTACCTCTGAGCATCATTGTTGCCTTTTTTTAGCATTTTGTGATGTGACCGAGGCACAAATAAATGTTACATTATCTAAAGGCTACAATTTGCGTATGGTAGTAAATAGTTAAAAGTTAAAGTAAAGCAAAGTTTCTTCAGTCTGAAGGAGTCCTCTTCTTCTAATGGGGTGTGTTCTGCTCCACAGTCATAACACCAAGACAACCACATGGCTTGATCCGCGGCTCTGTAAGAAAGCCAAAGCTCCCGAAGATTGTGAAGATGGAGGTGAGACGTTCAGAATTCATTTGTCACCTGTGACCGATAAATGTCTGAGTTTCTCACAGCTGGATACGATCCATTACTGCCGTGGTAGAAGTTTCTTCCTGATACACGTGACTGGAGCAGGCAGTGTAGTGCTGAGTGTCCCTAGTTTGGTGGCAATAGGACTTTATGTAAACTGGGAAAGTCCATAGTGTATTTTTCCTGGAGTAGTAGAATCTGACTGAATCGTGGGTTTGTCTGCATTCCTGAGATGAAAATGAGACATTTTGTTCCAGTAACTATCATTGCTAGGGAGAAAGCTGCATACATTAGTGACGATCTCACTGGAAATTTTTGTGTGGCTGGAATACGGCAGGAGGAAAAGGTCCGTAAGTGTTAGAATATAGGAGTAATGAAGAAGACACGGCATAATACCTATTGCTAATGATACCTGTTGCACGTGACATGATATAATATTTGAATGCATAAGTAGAGGGAACAATCTGATTCAACTCTTCATGCTGTTGCTTCAAGACTTACAGGTCAGGTTCATGAATGGCCTACGGACAATTCCTGCAACCATTTCCTACATAGTCATGTAATTTAGTCAGCTAGAAAAGACTACCAAATAGCTCTGTCTTTGGCAAATGCCTGACATGTTACAAAAGCTGAGGCAGACTCAGAATAGCCTGTCGTCTTCCTAAACTGCACAGCCTAACCATCATGAATTCATAATGAAGCCAGCTGGATCAATGCATGCATACTGCTGCTTATTAAACATATGTGCAGCTCACCACAGGATAAAAAGAGCACTTTAAACAGAGAGATGCAGGATATCCAAATGAACAACATTTAAATGAATAGACCCACTGGGTCTTTTGTCAAACCCTGTGGAGTGATGCTGGTGTTAATAATTGGTAACATGCTGTCATATGCTAGGAAAATCCTGTTACCATCAAACTTAGGGCAGCCTCAAACAAGATTACGTAGCAGTTTTATCCTTCAAATGTCTAGCTACCTGACTGCATCCATTATTCTAATATTTAAATTTCCATGGTCGAGGTAACTAGAACAGTAAAGCTCGAATAATTTGACCTCTGTGTTAACTGCTTATCACATTCAGTCAGTAATGATCTGCTGCTGGGCACCATCTTAGCAGATTCTGAATTTGCCATAAAAAGGAGCTTTTCACGTGTAACTTTCAGTACCTGTATCAAACAGGTGATTTTTTACTTTAGACCCCTAAGGCAGGGATGTCCAAGGCAGCCCAAGGCACTGGCAGCTAGCTTGCTGTGGCTGCAAGGGCAGTCAGGCTGCGGGAGCACAGAACGGCGTTTCGTTGTCTTGGCAGGCCAGGCAGTCTGTGCTGAATTTGATGCAGCCAGACCTAAAGACGTGCTAGCTAATTTTGGGGTGTCTCACTGTATTGTAAACATCAGGGAAAAACAGCCTGCAATGGTGGGGGCTCTCTTCTTACTCGTCACCTATGGCTGTTATGGTTCTGACTGAAGGTTTTCTTGGGTTGACTGAAAACTGAAACGTCAGAATACAGCGAAATACCCTGGTGTTATTGAGAGAATAAATAAAGGCAGTATTACTTCTGCCAAGTGGTCTTAAACGGAAAGTACAAGAGGAATGGAGATGCGTGGTTTTACAAGCTGGGGATGTGATACTGCGAGGCATTTATAGTTCTCTTTTGTGGTGTATTTGGGGGCAGAAGCAGTGCGACCGTACTCGTATAGTTTAAAAAATCAACAACAATGAAATCACATTTATAATTAGATTAATTTTAAATAATGTATTTTTCTTCCCCTTTATAGGTTCTTCCTCTCTAAATAGGTTAGTTTGTATCTTGTCTTTAAGTTTATTATATGTTTGAAGTGGTGTGATTTTGTTGAATACAAGTCTCCTCATCTAGTGGAACAAAGACTGAGATTTATAGGGCTTCAGATCCCTGGAACAGGCTGATATCCTTTCATCAGAAGGACCAGCCTCAAACAAAGGAAGGGAAGAAAAAAGGACCTGTATTTTCCTCATATTTTTCATGAGTCTGTAATCTGTCCTCTCGTTCCTTCATAAGAACTCTGATATTTGCTGATAATTTTCCACTGTAATGGAGAACTTCATTCTTTTTGATTGCAGAACTTCCTTATGGGTGGGAAAAAATAGAAGACCCCCAATACGGAACATATTATGTTGAGTAAGTGCGAATTATTAATTTGACATAGTTATAAATTGAGCAGAAAATAATGAAGCCCTTGATATCCAGTATGTATAGGTTGTAACGCAATGTAATACCCAGTAGGAGCCATTCTAGAGGCAACGAACGCATGGTGCACGCTCCTGAAGCACTGGCATGTGGGAAGATCCATGGTGTGACCTTGCTGACTTACTGGAGTGTATTTCTTTTGGGGTGGGAAAGCAAGTAGCAACCGAAGTAATTTATTAGTGGGAATGAGCTGATGTCATTTTTCTTAGCTTTTACAAAGGTAGGATCACTTGATTTAAGAGTGGCACCTGAGAACTGTAAAAGAGCAAGAGTAACTTAAATCTCATTGCTGTCTCAAAAGAGCCAAGTAAATAACTACTAAATTGCTGCAAGAGCTCTTCTGAATCTCCTTCAGGTCAGAGTAAATGAAATCTCTCTTTAACCATGGAGAAGAAAATTAGTAGTTGAAAATGTTAGCTTCAGAGAGCAAGCTAACATTTTTTGACTTTGCAAAGCCAAGACAGGTATTTAAATTCTGCTCAAACGTACTGGTTTTTTCCACTCTGCTGTACTGCTCCAGCATCTACTAGTAAAAAGGTGATGTCTGAGTTTGTAAACATTATATAGGTAGATGGAAGCAACATGTAATGTCAAGAATAAAAGTGGATTTTCTCAGTTCTAATCTGTTACAACCTTTTGAAAATTTGCGGAGTGGAATGAAGGTATACTCTACCTAATAATTACAGGAAGTAAAATTGTATTGGCTCTTAATCAAGTTGTTGAAAGAACAAAAATGCTCTCAGTGTTGCTTATAATAGTTTATTGTTTATTCCTCCAGAGCATTAATCTGAGATAATAAAAAATAGTATTTGTAGATGTATCTTTTGTGGTTGTCTTTTCTGTGAAAGAGGCAGCATGCTTTCTGCTGAAATCCTGATCTACCTTTTGTATGTCTACAGTCATATTAACCAGAAAACTCAGTTTGAAAACCCAGTATTGGAAGCCAAAAGAAAAAAACAGCTAGGACAGACTGATGTTGGCCCTTCAAAATCAGGTATCACTGAATATTGTGTTCTTTGTCACTAATATCTTTACCTGCAAGTATGCAATTCTGCAAGTAACCAATGTTGGAATTCACCAAGGCATTAGCCTTGTCTTTTTGCTGGCCATTGTGGTGTTGCCATCCCAAACCCAAAATGTACGGGTTTTTTGAATTATTTATTTAATGTTAAAATTGAACTGAGACCCTAAGACTGCTTTAAAATCATTTGGGTCATTCTGAAGCCGGTTGTCATAAGCAGCTTTTGAGTATATGGAGGGTTAGAAGTGCCAGCTGGAAGATGCAGGTAAAACCAGACCTTGAATTTTTATGTTTTTGATCTACTTTAAGCTTGGTATTCAAGGGTTAGAGTGCAAAACTGGGAATTATAGGTGGGAGCTTTACTTGCAGCTCTCTTGTAATCTGTACTACTGTCTTGGAGAAACTCTTAACTTTCCCATTCACTTAACTCAGCAGTGAAATGAGTGCTACAGTGTCTTGTTTGCTTTACTCCATAACAGTGCTGCAGAGGTTAACCAATGTTAACCAAATAAATCATTAACCTTTATGACACCTTAAAAAACGAACAACAAAAAACTTACCAAAACTAACCCTGGTTTCCTACATTCTTGTCTCTTTGTTCTGCAATTCAAAAGGACCAGAGAAGTCTGCCTTCACTAGAGATCCATCCCAGCTTACGGGAGCACTTATACGGACATCACTGAAAAAAAGTACGATGGGATTTGGCTTTACAATCATTGGAGGGGACAGACCTGATGAGTTTCTCCAGGTGAAGAATGTGTTAAAAGACGGACCTGCTGCACAAGATGGGAGGATTGCACCAGGTAAAGTATTATTTCTCTGAACTTCCAGTTCCTGTGGTACTTTTTGAGAATGCAGCTTCTGAGGACGAATGACTCCATCCACTGACTCTGAGCATGAACACCTCACTAAATGAAATAGTTTTCAGATTTGTGAAAGCCTGTGCAGAGCAGTGGCTTAAAAGGAAAAGAAGCAATGTTCTAGATAGAAATCTACTTTGAGGACGCTTCTGAAGATTTCAGTAGTTCTGCTTTAGCCAAGACTTTTGGCTTCATGGTTGTTTACAGAGTGTTTTTTTGTTCCCTCTATATACGTAAAGTAAAAACCATGTGTTTGAATCCTGGTCTGTTTTGCCTTGTTGCTACCAAAATCATAACACTGAATAGGAAAATTGCAAAAAACCTGCAGCATGAATGAGCAAGCAGAGCTGTATGAACTGGGCAAGTGAGGAAGCAAGAGGGATGAGAGAACCTGCAATCCATGAAGAACTGCGCACTTTTTCATTTAATTAAGTTACCTATAAGCTTACTGTAACATGCAGTTTACATACTAGAAAAGGCAAAATGCTTCTTTACATATCACAAACTCTCTTACTCTTCAGAGGAGTAAGAAGAGTTCATGCTTTCAATGATTTAATACTATTTACTTATGAAATGAAACAATTTCCTGTTTTGTTGCTGACCTATTGTTTGAACTTGTTTGTATGTGGATCATTTTCCTCCCCTGTAAAAATGAAGACAGTCCTGCAGCGTTGTGTTGTGGTGCACACACGTGTTTGAATGAAAGGATGTATATCTGTTCCTGTTGTAGTTCACGTAATAGGGCAGTCGCTGTTTTACTGATGCCCGGCATTTAAGTGATAAGACCGTTTGCTTGCTGAGAATATTGTATTGCACATGCAAAGTTTCATGATCAAAATGTTGCAAATTATGAAACAAGGTTTTGGGATCTGAAGCCTACTTCCGCTTCGTTTTGAAAATACATGCTTAGCCATGTGTGGCAACAGTGTAAGAGTGTGGAATGTGTGTGGGCGCAATCCTAGCTTAAGTTCGGCCAGTCCTAAAATAAACATAGGACACCCCCCACCCCCCCAAAAAAAATCCGATTTATTCTGGATTGAGTTTAGGATGCTGTACAGTATGAATTAAAGTAGAAGACATCTGCTTGCAGGAGTGTGCGTGCACTGCTTCATCTCCTGTGGCGGTACAGTATCATTTTTTAAATCTGCTGCAGATTAAACTTTATATATTTAGCACACTGTGTTCTGAGATGAAATAGAATAAATGCAAAGAGGAAATCCTTTATGCTTTTTGGCAACAGATAGCCAAGAGGTAACAGCCCAGCCACCACTTGTTACTAGTTTTGAAGACTGCACGGTGATTTCTTCCAGTTAGGCTTTTGTTCTGAGCCTCAGAACACAGGACAGGTCTGGGTGGTTTCGTTTCTGGTTTTGACACTGTTGAACGTTCTTTTGTAACAGGTGATGTCATTGTAGACATAAATGGAAGTTGTGTCCTTGGCCATACCCACGCAGATGTTGTCCAGATGTTTCAGCTAGTTCCTGTCAATCAGTATGTGAACATGACTTTGTGTCGTGGTTATCCTCTTCCTGACGACAACGAAGACCCTGTGGTAGATATAGTGACAGCTACACCTATTATCAATGGCCTGCCTGTGACCAAAGGAGACGTTTGTGTGACCAGCCAAGACTTAGTAGCAGGAGCAGTTGTGTTGGACCAGAATGGGAAAATGGGCCCTATGTTGGTCAATGGTCGTCTGAATGGCCCTTCCATGGATACAACTGAGCAGAGGATCTCTCTTGCGTCTTCAGGAGGCTCTCAGCCAGAGCTGGTCACCATTCCGCTAGTCAAAGGTCCTAAAGGCTTTGGGTTTGCCATTGCAGACAGTCCTACAGGACAGAAGGTGAAAATGATTTTAGACAGCCAGTGGTGCCAAGGCCTTCAGAAAGGGGACGTAATCAAGGAGATTTGCCATCAGAACGTACAGAGCCTGACACATCTGCAGGTGGTGGAGGTACTGAAGCAGTTTCCAGTAGGAGCAGAGGTGCCGCTGCTTATCTTAAGAGGAGGTACGTACGTAAATTTACAGTTGTCATATATGGTTATGTGCTTTTAAAAAGTCCCTTTTTAGTGTGATATCTAAATTGTGTCCGGTCTTGACAGTTAAGTAGCAGCTCATTATGTCTCTGAGCTGTTATGTTCTAAGTTTAATTTATACCCCTGAGTATTTGGGGTGAGAGCATGTTGCTATAGGTTTTTTTTCCAAAATTTTATTATGATATGTTTATGCACTGTCTATTCCAAGTGTCTGGGGAGTGCCAGAGCAAAAATGTGGTCTCTAGCATAATACAAAGTATACAACAGATAAGAGTTTTCTGAGGCTCTCCAAATGTATTCCAGTAACTGTAGCTGTAATGGACAGGTGATTAAAGGAGACAGGAGGAAGCATCAGCAGTGAGGTGGAGCTGATCACTGGAAATACCAGAAAAATTCTCATTTTCGCATTTGCATATTTATACCTCTTCATTGACCGTCAGTCTCAGACCAGAATGTGTCTTCTCCCCAGAAGCTGACTAGTAGATAGTGTGCATTTGCCAGAAGGAGCTGAATGAATTATGAAGGAGCACGTGGCTGCTTAGCGTCCCTTTAAGCTTTTACTGTAGCCCTGAGAGTGTCACTTCAAACAGTCATTGACATTTGCAAAAATCTCCAGGTCTTCTTCTTTATAAATGCTACTATTCCTTAATCAGCTAAGGAAGTAATCAGATTTCTTTGGTAGCAAGTGAAATTCCTCTAGACAAACTCACAAAGTCTCTGTGTCCCCTGAAATGCTTTGTGATTTCGTTGACCAGTGTCTAGCGAAAAGAGAAATAGATGCTTTTCATTGTTGTACAGCTGGCAATTCTAATTTTGAGATTTCTCTGAAGGGATGTTTTTGGTCAACTGAACATTCACATTGCCGTTTAAAAGAAGAGTGAATAAGCGGTTATTATTTTCAACCCAAGAGGAGCTGATTATATTGCTTTAATGCTGTTTAAACTTCTGGTGACCTAGTATTGAAATTGCTTTCTACATTGTATTTTCTTCAGGTCCACCCTCACCTACTAAAACTGCCAAAGGGGTGAGTATTAGTGATGTATTTAAATTTGTTTCTGATGGAGGATATTCAGGGGTTTTTGGTTGCAAAACAGACTCATAAATATAGTCTACTTAATGCAAAAGATTCCTTTGGGTTTTTTTGAGTTGTTTAATGGAGGTGATGGATGTCTCTCTTCTTACTACTGAAGGATCAAGAATGCAGCAAAGATCCTGTATGACGATGGGTGTAGTATTGTTGATTTGTCATGATTTTAAACATGACATTGCCACTTAAGTTCTATCATTATTTCCCTTTTTTGCACTGTACTTGAAATTGCTATCTGTGTGCACACTTCGACCTGCTTTTGTAATCTCATCTTCTCTGGGTTTTAGTCCCTGTGATAATCTGCAAGATGATTTAGCAAAACCACGTCTACCTAGCTGGCACAAATTCATTGTCTGAAGTAACTGCTGTCAGAATACCCATTAAAAGGGAAACAAAATGCCTGGGGTTTTTTTTTTTTTTTTCCCCATTGCTGATTACCTGTCTTGAAGTGAAATGGGATTTCTAAAGGAAGTTTGTGATACTTTGATATTTCTCAGTCCTTGCATAGAATTAATGGACTGTTTAGTACTCCCTTCTTAAAACGCTTGCTTATCTTTGAATCCGTATTTTCAGGAAGTCTCTATGTAGCGGTACATTTCTAGTTTGATACTCACTATTATTGGAAGTTCAATCTATTGGGGTATCTTTAATATATATTAGCTCAGTAAGGAACCCTTGGGCTTAATAAAATACCCTCTGATTGGTTAATGCTGATAGCAATGCATATTTTTGTCATGAGCACTTTTTTTATGAATTAGGCTAGTTGGTGAACAGAGCTGTTTCCTTAACAATGTTTCTTGTACAGAACAAATTATTTCATTTTAAGAAAACCCCATTACCAGGATGGTAGATGTAGATGTAGCTTCTTTTTCTGTCTTCGTCCTGCTGTTTGAGTACTGAAGTCGTATCCCGGCAGCGGGATAATGTGAGCAGACAAGTTCAGTGTGCTTGAAACAGACTGCGCTCAATAAGATTTGCAGAATCAGTTCCTTGCAATTGTACAGCTGCCCGCACTAAATAAATCAGTGCGTAAATCTCTGCAGTTTGAGGACGCAAGGCTTGTCAGCGTGGCTCCCGTGCTAGCACTCTGTGCAGGCGTGCTAAAAATACTACGGACTCGGGGACTGGCGTTCTAGCACACGTGCAGCAGCAACTTCCCATGGAGCACTCGATGTTCAGTGGCATTAACCAGCATGGCAAAATAATTCAGTTTAAAAGGGCAAGTTCTTGTGTTTATAAACATGCAAGAAGCGTCAAAGTGCTAAATCGCCTGGGGGGGGTTTCTCCCGCTCTTGTAAAAGGGCATATCTAAGTCGATTCTACTTGTGCTTTTGTTTAACGTGCACAGACACACGCAGACTGCCATGTTCCGGTTTTCCAGGTTGGATTTCAGCCCAGAATAAGTATTCGGAGTTCCTTTAGTGCATAACCGATTGGAAATTAGGGTGGGAGACCACAAGGATGCTTGGCATCCTTTCTTCATGAAATACTAATAGGAGTGTTGCAGCTATCAAATCATAAAAGAAAAATGCAGATGTTGAATTGCTAATGCCTCACGCTGCCCGTGTGTTCCTCGGGTTCGGTATTTATAACGCCATTGGGATGCAGCCTGGCGCCGGGCACGCCGCCCGCGCTCTCGCTTGGAGGCGGTTTGGCGGTGGGCAAGAGGCAGTGCCCGCGGAGCTGCTCGC